ACTTATCTAGCTTTTACAAAATTAATTTGTTACAGGGAATATACTAACATTCCGTTGCATGGTGAGGAGGAATATACTCCATTTATGCCGAGGAAGAAACAAAAGGAAATGCGCATGGTGAAAATGGATCCGCCGTGTGTGTAACGTTACCTACCTTCCGTTGCAGGGTGAGGAGGATGGCCCCTCCGGCGGCGTCGTGGAGCACCCGGTGGCTCCGGACGCAGAGAAAGGTGTCCTTGGCCTGCAGCACGACGGCGCCGTTAGCGTCGTCGTCGGTGACGGTGAAGTCGCCGCCGGAGAAGCTCATGTACTTGGTCACCGTCAGCGACACCACGTGCGGCGCGCAGAACTGCGGGGACACCACCGCCACCGCCACCGGTGCCGGTGGCGGCGTCAGCGCCAGCGCTGATGAATTACTGTCGTCCAATTCCATCGAGCTCGATCGCGCACCTTGCCACTGGTACACCAGCGCGCCAGCGCTCGCTAGCTTGCTGGATGGGGCGGGACGAGGATCGGAATTGGCCACGCGTTGTCGCTCGCTGCCCGTCCTCGCAGCTTAATTTCGCGTGCCTTACCTTGTCCCTTCCTGCTTGCTTCCTTGAGTATACACAAGTTGACCAAGCAAAGTGTGGATGTGGACTATGAAAAGATCTTCTCTATAGTCATCAGGTCAAGGCATAGTGACCTTTGCTTCGTTACGTACCCGATCAGCCAACAATCTAGCGAGAAACGAGAAATTGGTACGAAACCGCATGTGTTCTTAGGGCCTGTTTAGTCCCTAAAAAATTTTGCGCGGTACCTATCACATCGAATCTTGCGGCACATGCATGAAGTACTAAATATAGATGAAAAAAAACTAATTGCACAGTTGGGTGAGAAATCGCGAGACAAAACTTTCGAACCTAATTAGTCCATAATTAGACACTAATTGCCAAATACAAACGAAAGTGCTACAGTAACCAAAACCCAAAAATTTGCATCTAAACGCGCCCTTAGTAAACAAAACGTCTAAATTGGGTACCGTACGTTGACTATTAAGTGCATGCGTCGCGCCCACCTTAACTTTCTCGTGCTATACAGATCGTTGATTTTTTATATATATGGTATATGACAGACATAGGTCCTGAAACTTAATAATAATTGGAAAAAAAATTAAAACGAATTGTTAATTGTCTGCTGTCCAACTTTCTCTATCAACTTGAAATTAAATTTCTGTTGGTCAATGCATGCCATCCAAAACCACCAAGTACTACAAGTGCTAAAGTATCTGTAGTGACTTGTGAGAAGCCGAATTAAAAAATTAAAGCTTGTTTGGCGGCTGGCCACTCCAATGCCTCCCAGTCGGAATTCTGAAGATTAGCTGTAAGGGCCTGTTTAGATTGAAGCTGCTAATTTTAGTCAGCTAAATGCAGTTGCTAAACTTTAGTCACACCTATTTTAATAGGTGGACTAAATGGGACTAAACTTGACAGCATGACGTGTAGGATAACCAAAATGCCCCTAATTAAATGCTAACTCCTACCCCTGGGAGATTTGGCGCGCTGGACGCGCTGGTGGCCGCGCGCTGGGAAGTTTGGCGCCATGGGCGCCCCTGCTTGCTGCTGGGAGCGCTGCTCTGCTATCTGGCAGCAGCAGTAACAATTTTACACTCTCAAATAATGTACAAATCGTTATTACTACTCACAGGTACAAAAATCTTTATTATTACAAATTATTTCACTCTTGACAACTATGACCTACTAAACAGACCATTGGCAATCCAATCACGAAATTGATTCATGTGTTGATCTTCGTCCCCCTGACATCTATTGGCATTATTTGCTTGAGAAGAAGATGCTTCACCATTTGGATCATAGTTTTCATCTTGATCACACAAGTCAAAGAGATCATCCATCATACCACTCTGTCTAATGAAATTATGTAATGCCCAGCACTGATTGAATGTTCAACATAAAGAAAGGCCAACATCACAGCACTACTACCCAGCACTGATTCCTAGCTGCTCAGACCAAGCACAAAAGACCAACATGAACAGCACAGAAGACCTCTCTTCACTTCCTGGTGGCTCTCTGTAGCCAGTTAAGCCTCTCTTCATTTGTGTCAAACTTGAGGAATATGTGTCTATTGTAGCCACTTCTGAACAGCTCTGTAGCCACATAGTACTCCTCTGAGTTTTTTGCTGCCCCTGACTCCATAGACAACTGCAAACACCTGTCAATGTGAACCATCCTGGCTTCCATCTTGGCTAGCTTGGCTTGCTTTGCTTCTTCCTCTCTTTGCTTGAACTTTGCAACCATGGTCTCTGAAATAGATTGTATGGTCTGCTCATCCTTGTGAGAGTCAATCTCCAACTGTGTCACCAGCCCCTGCATAATGGTCATCACTGGAACTCTTTTTGCAGACTTGCTTGGGCTTGAAGCTGTGCTTGGCCTTTTGCGACTACTGACAGTACTAGGTGTACTCACCTCCATAACTTCATCATCTCCATCTTGAGTTTATTCCTCTTCCTCATCTTCAGGGGCATCAAAGTTGGATAGGCCAGGGATGCTTGAGGTGGAGCCATCAACAGCTGAGTTCTGGAACAGGTCTTCCATATGTGGGAAGTACCTTGGTAGCCCATACGTGAACTTCCTGCACTCTGGTTTCTTCTAAAATAGATAAATGAACAAAGGGTAATTAGAATCAAATACAAACAGTGAAGATGAGATGTTAGACTTACAAGACCAAACAAATCAAAGCATCATTACCTTTGTGTGCCTTTCCCACCAAGAGAGGGGTGCATCAATCCCTCCATTTTGAAGCTGGCCAACTCCTGTTTGGTTGTTAGCCCACTTGAACCAAGAATACATCCCCTTCAGTTGATTCCATCTGTTCTTCAATTGTTTCAAAGACCACGGGAAGCGCTGGCTACTGCCTTGCTGCGGCGCCTTGAAGCGCGCGGAACCAGAGTATTTCTAGATCCGCCCTCTCCTCCGGTCAGATGAGGAGGAACGAACGGGACGGCACCGGATCTGGCGCTAATGCGAAGAGGCGAAAGCCCGTGGCCGCCGGCACCGCCATCACCATGGAAAAGGCCCTGGTACGACTCCATGTGGGGGTAGCCATCGCCGAGGGTGTTCAAATCCAGCCCCTCCATGCCGCGCTGAGAAGAGGAGCCCAGACCATATGATGGCACCTGGGAGAAGAGGCTGAAGTCGCCGGCGTTGGGGGTGAAGGCCAGGGCAGAGGCCATGCGATCCACTGGAGAAGATGACTACGAGAAGTAGTCCGGATACTCGGACCTGTGACCCTCCATGGCGGATGGGTGAGCGGAGGAGCGGGGACGGCGGCAGAGGCGTGGGGAGGAGCGGGAGCCGGCAACGCCGCGTCGAGACCAGTGGGGGCGGCAGCGGGGAGAGCAGAAGAGAGCGAGAGTGAGCGACCTGGAGAGTGAGCGAGAGTGGGGAGCGGATAGGGTTTGGCGGGGGTGGTGTTCAGACACAATAATGAGGGGCACTGGGTGTCCAGGGTGGCCTTTTAGTCCCCTTTAGCAACCTATGCCTGACTAGTTGGCTAAATGGCATTTAGTCCCATTTAGTCATAGTGTTTAGGTAAAAAGTAGCTAAATGGGACTAAACTTTAGCCAACTAAACTTTAGCAGCCCAATCTAAACACCCCCTAAGTAGGATCGTAGTCATATTTTTCATGCAAATCATTAATGCACATGGTTTACATGCAAGTGATTAATGCATATGGGGTTCCCGTGGATGGCTTCAAATATGGGCTAGGCCTGCTGGGCTGGCACGGGCGCGACACTAAAAAGCACGGCCCGACCTGACTCTCATCGTCCCGTGCCTGGCACGATCCGGTTGTAGTGTTGTGCCTGCCGCAACTTCAGCCCGTAGTGCCGGCCTCGGCATGGCATAATTATTGGGTTAGCACGATGCGGCCCAATAGATTTCAGCCGTTGGATGGCCTTAGGATAGATTTCAGCCGTTGGATTCAATATTTAAGCTCATCCCTCACAAAAGCCATAGCTTCAACTCTGTCTCCTCTCACCCTCCTGCTTCCCTCACGCGCAACCGTGTAGGGCACGGTAGTGGCGGACCCATTCCAGCACGTGTCGGAGGCGGCGCATCCTTGCATGGGCGCGCGCGCACGATGGGGGTGTCCCAGCGGCGGTGGCGCTCGGCAGGGAGCGTCCCCGCGGCGGCGACAGCAGCGGCGGGGAGCATCCCAGCCGCAGTAGACACCTCCGGGGCGCCAGCGGTGCCAGCGACTCGAGGCACGGACTGCAGTAACGACAACGGCGCGGATGCGAGGCGACGAAGATGCCCGGGCTGGCATGGGCACGCTGGGCCGCCGTGCTCATAGTACCGGCAAGGCCACAGATGCGAGGCTATAGTGCCGCGGCACAGCACTGCAGCGCCGCCGTGCCAGTGCTGTGCCATGCCTAGGCGGCCGGTTCGGCCATGTATACTTGAAATTATGAAGGTGCATGGGTTGTCGGTGGGTCCCAGGAAGGGATAGCCAATTAATTGAAGACTTTAGTGCTTGACCTAGTACATGATAGCCGAAAGGTATTGTGAGTGCAGTACATGATAGTACATGATAGCCGAAAGGTGTCACTGACATAATCATTTGTCCAGTGCATAATCATTTATCGGTGCAGTGCATATTGTACATATATCAACGAAATAATACACAAATTTATTGATGAATGTTTGGTTTGAATGATATATTTGAACCATGTCCATAGATACCGCAAATGGTAACAAAGACTACATGTTTGACTCACACTTCAAAGTTTGCTAATGTGACATTATTTGGTCAATATATAACATCAGTAAAATCAACCAAACAAGATGCAGTAGAGTTTATCTACACAAGTCAATAAAGTTGTTTATTTTAGCATAATTTATATACATATGCATCCCTTAATCGAATAACAGTGTTGAAACCAGCAACTCGATCGATGGGGGAAGCTTGGGATTGGTCAATTGGTGTGTGCTGCTCAATCCTCATTTGGATCGATCCCTGTGTATCTCATCCAGAATCACAACAAGAGCCGCAATGAACACGTAGTCCACGTGAGGGAACACGCTAACACTGTACGTGTCCTTTCCGAGCAGCACATTTGACAAAGTAAACTTGCGATTCATCTGCAGCATATCAAATGGCAGACATGCATGTTTACTAGCTATCTTAATAAAAGTTTATAAACTCCGAAATATAATTAGCTAGAAGGGGCAATATATTATATATAGTACATGTTTTGTACTCACTTGAGCAATCAGTACGTTGGAGTTGCCGCGATAGAAGGCACAAGACCTCTCGAAGTAGCTACCCTTGATCTTGAAATCACATACCTGCTCTGCTGTGGTGTTCCCAGCCAGAAAGACATCCAACTTTGTCTTCATTTGGAAAATGGATGTTTTCTTCACTGTGAATAGCAAATCATTTGCAGCCGTGCTATCCCCTCTGAACACTTTCCATTTTTCACGCATACTAAATACCTGTTAGCACAATTAATATTTATTAAATTTACTTTTTAACATAAGGTACCCAAAGAAGACATGGTCTAAGTACCATGTTTATTATAGTAGGAATTCTAAACATAGCTACGTTATGTACTAAGGTTCTAATTGAGTGTTATATTATTAAAAAAAACTGCAGTTTTATAACTCACAGGCATGCAAAACCTAAGTTCTTTAAAAGAGTTCTAGAGTAGAGTTTTTAAAACTAAAAAAATCTTCACTTTTATCAAAATATATTTCATTGCGTATCTAATAAATTTAACCTCCTCTCTGACCTTTTTTTGGCCGTCAACAGTAAACATTCGCGAAATATGAAATAAATGCACTATATCAAAATATATTTCATTGCGTATCTAATAAATTTAGTTTGGTATTGTAGACGTTTAGCCATTTTTCTATAAACTTTGTCAAAGACGGAAACACGAGGGACCTAAGGAAACTTAGCTACGATCATATCAGTTTCTTGGATTTTTGCTTCTTCGTATTGTATACGTATACTGCTAGCAGCTAGGAGCAGTGCCGGCCCTAAGGGTGGGCCAGGAGGTGCGACGGCCGAGGGCCCTCGCGGGATGGGGGCCCAAGCTCAAGTATATAATACTCCATACCCTTTAGTTATAGTCCATTAGAATTAATGAGAAGATGCAGCGGCCCATCAGCAAAAGGAGTTGTCGGCCTTTTTCTTTCCAGGAGGCAAGGAGCCGAGCCGCCAACACCCACACACGCGCACATAGCGATCTTGAGTCGCGACTTCCGAACTTCTGGCGAGATGGCAAGACGCGAGACTGCGAGAGACGCAGCGCCGATCGCCAGTTCACCACGCGATCACCAGCGCAGATCACCGAGACACTGACGCCCGAGTTCCGGTCTTCCAGAAGCCAGACAACGGCGTTCCAGACGATGACGACGACCAGGCAGCTGAGGCAGGGCTCGACGAAGACGACAACATCTGATCTTGATTATTGCCTTCTGTCCTTTTTGTGATTTGTGAATCTTGGTTTTGAATAAGTTTATGTCCAAATTGTTTAGGCCCTATGTTTAATTTTTGTCTAGTACTTTGTACTCATATAGTCATGTTTTTCTTGTAATTTAGGTCAGGTGTTAGAATTTTAGAATATTACCTAAGAAAATTTATCGAGAGGGGCCGTCGTGATGAGTTCGTCAGAGGGCCCTCAAAATCTTAGGACTGGCACTGGCTAGGAGCCAGGACTGTAGGAGTACGATCGATTCTTCTGAACTCCCATGGAGGCACAGCCCGCAGAAGCAAGAAACAAGGGAATGGTGACAATATTAGATAGATAAGATACGCCCGACGCCCGACGAATCGATCCGCTGTGTAACGTAAAGTTACGTACCTTCCGCTGCATGGTGAGGATGGCCCGTCCGGCGGCGTCGTGCAGCACCCGGTGTCTCCGGACGCTGAGATAGGTGCCCCTGACTTGCAGCACGACGGCGCCGCTAGCGTCGTCGGTGACGGTGAAGTCGCCGCCGGAGAAGCTCATGGCCTTCTTGGTCACCGTCAGCGGCACCACGTGCGGCGCGCAGAACTGCGGGGACACCACCGCCACCGGCACCGGTGCCGGAGCCAGCGCTGAAGTGTCCCTTTCCATCGAAATCGATCGCCTTAATTTGCAGAACAGCAGCGCCAGCGCTCGCTTGCCGGGATCGGAGTTGGCCCCTTGAGTATGTATAACACACCCAAGTTGACGAAGCAAAGTGGATGTGAACTAATGAAAAGATCTTCGGTAGCTTGTGCGGCGGCCCGCGCGCCGCAATAGCTACAGAATGAAACGAAAACGACACAAATGATTTTATTAGAACAGGTCAAGGCATAGACGCGTAGTGACCTTCCTTGGTCACGTACCCAACGATAAGCCAATCTAGCTAGTAACGAGAAATTGGCACGAAGCCGCATGTTGGTAACAAGCATCCAAATTGGCTACCGTGCGTGGACTATTTATTAAGTGCATGCATCGCGACCCTTAACTTTTTGTGCTGTGCCGATCGTTGATTAATATGCATGGTATATGACAGGCACAGGTCCTCAACCTTAATTATTAATTGGCTAAAATTTTCAAAAGAATTGTTATCCGTTGTCCAGCTTTCTCTGCCGGGTTAAGGTTTCAGCTCATCAATGCCTGCCGTCCAAAACACCTCCAAATAGGTGTCAAGGAAAGTTTGTGAGAAGTGGAATTAAAGAATATGACTTGCTCAAATTCATGTGCCTCAATTTTAGTTTTCTTTTCAGGAGACTGTTATATATATATATATATATTATATACTAAAATTTAGTTTAGTTATTCATTCCAATTTCTATACTCACAATCTGCAATAATTTTTCACTTTTCCTATTTTCATGTACCTGAATTTTAAGATGATTTCAGGCAACCTTCTTGTACCTCTAACTAGTACAAGTAAATTGTTACTTCTGTGATTTGTTATTTGTCTTTGTGTCATAACATATTAAATTTTGTCCTTGTCTTCCTATAGAAAATAATTATAAATTGCTAATTGTCTTTGTGCCAACACAAATCAAATTTTGTTGGGTTTGTGGTTTTGTGTAAAAGGTTTTTTATTCTCGGTTCCGATAATTGCAGATTGCGTTTACAGAAATGGCAACAAATGAAATCTCCAATGTTAGTATAAAATATATGCAATAACCGTCGCATGAAAGGAAACTAAAATTCAGACACCTGAATTTTAACAAATCCAATAATTTTCTGAGAATAAAAAATCCATTAGACAAAACCACAAACCCGACAAAATCTAATTTGTGTTGGCACAAAGACAATTAACAATTTACAGTTGTTTCTATAGTCAGACAAGGATAAAATTTGATATGTAATGACACAAAGGCAAATAATAAATCACAAAAACTAAGAATTTACTTGTACTAGTTGGTGTTATAAGAGTATTGCCTAAAATTATCTTAAAATCCAGGGACCTGAAATACAGGAGATGTGAAGAACTATTAGCTGGAAATATAATCACACTTTTGGGCATATGAACATTGAGGAAGAGGGGAGTCGATATGCGGACCTCTAAAAGTGTATTTCTAGAGACGGCTTGGTTAGTGGGACTTGACGGAAACCTCTATAAAGACGGCTGGGAATTGAGCTCCCTCTGGGTGTTGCTAAAAGTTGTTTATGTAGTAGTATGTTACCCTGAGAACCTATGAGATAAACTAGGTTGATCCATGCCATTTGCGTGTATTTTACCCCCTTCTCTTCTGGCCATTTTTCTTCCTCCAGCCACAACATTGTCACCAGAGTATTGTGCCTTTCCCTTGTCCCAACACTCTTCATATTGGGATCTATTTTTCCTACCAAATTGATTGACATGATAGCTTATTAAAGAAGATATAAGTCCTGCCTTGAACCTCACCACTAGCCATCCGCCCACCGCTCAGGATAGTGGCATCCCCGCCGTCCTACCTACCAACACCAGAGTTTGGCCAATCTTATTCCCTTGGTCATCCCTCCAAAGTCCCAAACCCTTCACCTTAACATTGAAAATCATAGCCCTAACCTGCCGAAGATGGAGGAGACAGGGATTTTCATTTCTCGCCATCGTTAGAGAGGAGGGTGAACATGGAGAGAAAGAAAGTTTTAGTCGTGATTTTGTTTGGCAGATCTCCTAGAGAAACCTCTACGCTAAATTCAGAAGAAGCTTTGTCAAATAGTTCTTTTTTTGCTATGAAGTAATTCTATGCTAATTCCTGAAATCATGTTTTTGAATGAACTAGGAGACTGGGAGTTGGGAACAATAACTTTTCTTGATTTATTTCCTGCACAAAATCATTTTCAGAGAATCACTTCACAAAGAAAATCACAAGCAGGAGGAGCTATACCAAACATGTTGAGGATTCCAAAACATGCAAGAGTAAATGAAAGGCACTAGGCTTGTTGCAAATGTGGTGTTTCAGCTCGTGCTAATTATTTTGAGTTTGAGTGCATAAAATTCATTGTTGTCAAAACCATGTTCATTCATATGTTCTAAACAATGTAGTGAATTTTTGCAAATGTTTTAAATCCTATATAATTAATTCTTATGGATTTGCATTATTTACCACATGTACATGCGAGACAGTGGACCTAGTGGTCTGCTGGAGGCTGAAAATGGAGGAGCCCTTGTACATACACATATTGGGCTGTTCCGTCAAGACCGATGGCCCGTCCTCATTCATTAGAACGGCCTGATCAGCTGGTTTGGCCATTTTAAGGGCCCATGCGCGGGTCATCGCAGCCCAAACAAGTCAGTGCACTCCTTGCGAAATACAGAGAGTTCCGGTTCCATCATACTGTACATACACACCAGCCATCGGAATCACAGGACAGCTCTCAAAACTCATAAGAAAAAAGTAAATTAATACACAATACTGTAAACGTTGGCATAATATGAAACAACAAAGTTCAATAGTCGATCTTGCTTGTATAATTGGACATATGCAAAACCCTCAAATACATGTAAAAAAGCAGTTGACAACAACTTGTGACAATATATAACATGCTGCAACATGGTGAAATAAGCTTGTGCTTGGTGTGTTCCTCAGTCGGATCGTTCCCTATGAATCTCATCCAGTATCACAACGAGAGCTGCGATGAACACGAAGTCAACATGTGGGAACACGGTAACACCGAACGTGTCCTTTCCAAGCAGTACATTCGAGACAGTAAACTGACGGTTCATCTGCAGGCACCAAATGAATGGCAAACACATCAGCTAAATATTTAGTCCAATATATGATAACAAACAAATGCTCCCAGTTTCTGTACTCTGCACTCACCTGAGCAATCATGTTGTAGGAGTCGCCAAGATAGAAGGCGCACGACCTGTCGAAGTAGCTGCCCTTGATCTTGAAATCGCACACCTGCTGCGCGGTGTTGGAAGCCAGGAAGATATCCATCTCTGTCTTCAGTTGGATGATTGAAGATTTCTTCGCGGTGAAGAGCAAATCACTTGCGTTCGAGCTATCCCCTCTGAAGACCTCCCACCTGTTGTGCATGCTGAATACCTGGTAATAATGTGCCACTGTCAGTGTCAGCTGATGCTGAACTTCTTGCTATGTATGATCGATCTACTAGAGTATGTTGGCAGGGGGCTTGTTAATTTTGTTGCAATGGCAGGAGGATTTTTGGTCTGCAAGATGCATGGAAATTGGGTGTGTTGGTAACAGATTGAGGTCCAATAAATCCGTTAACAAGACCTGGTTTGATGTAGCACAGGTTAAGACAAACAGTTAAAATCGGCTGCTTTTATAATAATAAAGTTCAGAACGAAGATCTTTTGAACCTCCTCACAAGACCTTGTTCCATATTTTGAGTTGTTTGACTTTCATATTTGGGCCTTGCAAAGTTTCGATGTGATGTTAACATTTAAGATATTATATGCTCAGTCTGAGTTCTGAAGGATATAATAAGGTTGCGAAAGCATTCCAAAGGCTGAAGTCCAACTCATGAAATTTCTTTTAGCAACGTTGTGATTATGATAGAGATTGCGCAGGGAACTAATAAATCATTGCTATCATATGGTCAACCCCCCATCTAACTTGAGTCAGGTACCATCAATTTCCAACGACACAGACGCGCACCAAGCAATGAAGTTGACTGCCAGATTATAGTAAAGCTTATTCCACTTTGGACGGTTCCCCATCATCCCAAATTTCGACGCCTGCTGCGAAAATAAAACCTCACAATAGAAATTTGATACTTCCATACTGATCGTTATATTTCTTTATCAGGATTTCTAGCGCAAGTCTTTCTTGCTCAACTCTGCAATTGATGATCCGGTTCCTATGTTTGATGTTTCCTCTCCAAATCAACCCCCAAGAACAGTTAATAACTTTGACCAAATGAAAAAAAAAACCAGAGAGTAGATCAATAATACTGATGTTTCTGGTTTTTGTAACACGGTTTCTTGGATCTTTCATTCACTGTAGGAGTCAACGACGGTCCTTGTGATCGCAGATCAAGCCACAAATCGAAACTAAAAGAAAAAAATGAATGACCGATCGATCCGGTCGATCCGTGAAGCTTAATTACCTTCTCCTGCATGGAGAGGATGGGCTGGCCGGCGGCGTCGAGGAGGACGCGGCGGTGGCGGACGCTGAAGATGGCGCCCTTGACCCGCAGCACGACGGCGCCGTTGGCGTCGGTGACGGTGAAGTCGCCGTCGGAGAGGCTGATGGCCTTCTTGGTCACCGTCAGGGGCACCACGTACGGCGCGCAGAACTGCGGGGACACCACCGCCACAGGGGCCGGCGCCGGCACCGCCGCCGCCCCCGGCGCAGGGCCTCCGTAGTAGGGCGCCGCCATCATATACCGCAGAACGATCGCCGCCGCCTTGTTCTTGGTTCTTGCTCGGTGGATTCGATCGGCGTCCGGCACGTGTTCTTGGTTCTTGCTGCTCTTTGAGCTTCCGCGTGCCGTTAATTGTTTGTGCCACTCGTCGTTGGAGTTGGGAATGTTTATCTTGCCAATTTACGTCGCCGACAAAAGGTGGTGGAGCCACCAAAGGAAGCGCGCGGGCCCTGGCTAATAACGTGTGGGCCCTGCCCAGGGAATTCAGCAGCTGAACGGTGGGCTAGACGCGTACGCTGGCTAACTTGTGGGCTATAATTCCTAGGCCCGAGAGAATTTCATCTTTTTTTATAATGGTTGATTTAGAGCGTCTCTGTCAGATTACCTATTCTCATGAGTCATGTCCTAAAGTGACCATCTACTTAATAGTATTGTTTTTTTCTCAATCATGTCCTCAGAGTTGGATAGGGGAGTAGAGTGATCTCCTACATTTGAAAAATTATTTTTTATAAGCTAACTCAGTGCCTAAGGTGAAGATATTCATGTTGGAACATTTGGGGTTAGCAAATTTGAAAACCTTGTGACAAATGGGACATACTGCAATCTCACTAGATTTATCTGGTGCCCTACCGGGGAAGTCCCTGGAGAAAGAGGTGCGCTGAAAGGATTTTACTGTGCCTAGGGTATGCCACCAGAAATATTCGGTGCTAACTCACTGACATGCACCGGAAGAAGTGGTCCAGGAGTGTTGTGCTTGGGCTTTTTCAGTTTGGACATCAGAATTCTGGTGGGGCCACCAGACTTATCCGATGATTTTTTTTATTTTTAACACATTTTTAACTAATTTTAAAACTGACACTGTTTAATTTTTTTTTCAAATCTAACACTTTTGGCCACGCCTATTCGCACGGCGCGGCGAATTAAAGCTGTCGCGCCATGCATGGGGGCGCGGCGAGGCTGTCAACGTGGCAGCGACTAGGGCCGCTGACCGGTGACGTGGCCAGCTCTGCCATGCCACCGATCAGGGCGCGTCGGCCCTGCCGCGCCACGCATCACGGCGCGGCAAACCCTTGTACAGGCCGGGCCTCTCTCTCTCAAGCGACCCATTAGAAGCATAGCCACCGCCCTGCCCGCCGCCCACGCACGCCGGCGCGCCACGCCCGCAAGCGCCCGCCGCACCGGCCGCGCCACGAACGCTGGCGCGCCACGGCCGCCGGCCGCCCGCCGCGCCTCCCGCCCACGCACGTCGGCCCGCCACGCCCGTCGGCCACCCGCCGCGCCCTCTGGCCACGCAGGCGGCCGCCCGCCATGCCCGCCACCGCCCTCACTGCTGCGCCGCCGCCCTCACTGCCGCGCCCGCCACTGCCGCCGCCGCCCTCACTGCCGCACCACCGCTTTACACCGCTCCCAACTGTCGCACGCCCCTATCTCTATCCCGTGTCCACCCGCCGCCGCCACCTAGGCCAGCGCCTCCCGGCCCGGTCTAGTGTGCCGCCGCCACGAGGACGGGCGCACGCTACTACCGCGAGGACGAGCGCCGCCGCCACGAGGACGAGAGCACGCTGCTGCCACGGGGTACTCCCCTAGTGTATTTGTTGATTGAATCGACATTGTTAGTATAGTAAGTTAGTACAATAAGTAAAGTTAGTATAGTTAGTAAAGTATAGTTAGTAAAGTTAGTTAGTTTAGTTAGTATAGGCAGTATAGTAAGTTAGTATAGTTAGTAAAGTTAGTTAGCTTAGTTAGTACAGTTAGTGAGTCTAGTTAGTTATTGTATTTAGTATAATTAGTTGTAGTTAGTCTTGTATAGATGTTAATATTAGATTAGTTAGTATAGTTATAGTTAGAATATGTATTAATATTACTATGGACAGTATGTACGACGATTTCGACATCTTGATGAAGTTTCTTGAAATGCTTTTGTAGATGGATTGTTGTGTTAGAGTTTTTTTACGGAGGAAGTGTTAGGAGAGAAGATGGTATGTTTGAGGATATGAAAGAAGAATTAGAATGGTTTGATGAACCTCCTAGCTTCAACGACCTTTGTGTCCGTTTGAATACAAAGTTTAGCGGTGATTTCATACGGAAAGGGAGGTTTAATACTGGGAAGACTAGGCATACTGTGTCCTAATGCCCTTACGTGACCCTGCTCACTGGTCCCACTACACTAGGGTACTCCAAGGTTCTAATGTGCCCATGACTGAGGTGGTGGTGGAGAATGGGTACAGGATGTAGGATGTCCTGGACGGGCCGTCCATTGACGGTGTTGGAGGCAATGAGCAAGAAATGGGGGTCAAAGGGGAAACAACTCAGGGTAACATGGATTTGGACGGTCAGTTGACGCAGGAGCAGTTTCATTCAAGTCAAGTAGGCTATATAAGCAATGACTTCGATGTGAACGAGTTCGAACTGGAAGAGGAGGAGCAGGAGGAGGAGGACAGGATCGATGATGTAGTTAGCAGTGATTCGGATGATTCAGATGATGACTAGGAAGATAGACATGCTATGCCCACACCGGTTGATGCCATGCCAGTACCTGTTCATGGTATGCCATTACCAGTACCAACTAAGGTTTTGCATGCTATCCAGGCTCAGGGTAGATTAGTCACAGATTTGCCAGCAGATGATACCCCCTATGATTCATGGGGCAGAATTAGTGAAGCACAGTAGTATGTTCCACCACCACCTTACACAGCGACTGAGCTTGAGCAACTAAGGTCAATGAACGTACCTTTCAGGGGCGTTTCGAACTATAGGGATGTCAGCATGACGGATATAGCAGTTTGTGACACCGGTCTCTAGATGTGTAGGAAATCATTGTATGACCATGAGAAAGAAATCCTTAGGAAGGAGATGATATTCAATACAATGTCAGAGATGAAGCTCTTCCTTCAGGACTATGCTGTGTATCACCATATGCCATACAACGTCACTCATTCGGACCAGGAGTTAAGGTACCACGTGATATGCAAAAATGGTTGTATGTGGAGATTAAATGCACGAAAGAGACAGAGCGATGGCAAGTGGAGGATAAGTAAAGTTGTCGAACCCCACACTTGCCTAACAAATAGGGGGAAGGAAAATCATCAGTAGCTCACTGCACGTTACCTTGCCCGGCGTATATTGGGGCTCGTTGATGACAATAACGACATTTTGGTGTCTTCTTTACAACAGTCCATATTTGGATTCGTTAAGTATGATGTGAAGTACGGAAAGGCTTGGCGTGCTAAGCAAATTGCCCTGGCGATTCGTTGGGGTAGTTGGGAGGAAGCATACAATAGGGTGCCCCGCATCTTATGTGCAATGCATTACTACAACCCTGGCTTGAAATGGTTTGTGGACATCGAAGGGATGTATTTTCGGGACCCGTTGAGGCATGTCCTATATCGTGTGTTCTGGTCATTCGCGCAAACGAAACATGCATTCTAGTTTTGTCGGCCAGTCGTACTAGTTGATGGCACTTTCCTAACAGGAAAGTATAGGGGCACCTTGATGATAGTTGTTGCTGTTGATCCTGAGGACCAGATAGTACCCATAGCTTTTGCTTTGGCAGAGAGAGAGAACAATGAATCGTGGTCATGGTTCAAGCGGCTTCTACGTGTACAAGTGCTTGGCCCATCTCGCACTATATGTTTGATCTCGGACCGTCACCCAGGGCTTCTTAATGCAGCAGCTGATCATATAGATGGGTTCCTGCCTCTAGTGCATAGATGGTGCATGAGACACTTTGCCGCTAATTTTTGGCGGCGTCAGAGGAAGAAGGAGGTATGTGACAAGGTAAAGGCTCTATTGTGTACATACAGAGCACCAGTTCAAGGAGACAAAGAGAGAACTAGACAAGATGCTAAATGAAGCAGGAAAGGCCTGGTTAGAGGCGCAGATAGAACAGAAGGCTCAGTGGGCGTTAGCATATGACGAGGGGGGTTTCAGGTATGGAATCATGACCACTAACTCCTCGAAGTCTCTCAACCGTGTATTCACCGGAGTTCGATCGTTGCCTGTGTCTGGAATTGTTGAGTTCTCCTTTCATAAGTGCAACTAATATTTTGTCAAGAGGTGGGAACAGAGAGAGGAATATAGCTGAGCAGGGGCGTTTTGGAAAGGTCGGAGCAGAACATTTGAAGAAGGCTGAGGAATTGGCCAAGCAGCACACCGCTGAGCCGTATGGACCCCGCCGCCATATATTTAGTGTACGGGGCAAGGGTGGCACAAGCTTGGGCGGCGAACGTTATGGTGGACGAAACTACCGAGTTGATCTTGAAAAAGTAGAGTGCAGTTGCAACGTCCCTCAGATCATGCATGCCCTTAGCTCTCATATGATCACACCATATCTGTCACCCTTGTATCTCTGTTCGAACACCGTTAGTATTTGGGAGAGGAGCTTCGAGTCATACCTTGACCCGACATAGTGGCCACCTTATCATGGTTATTACTACGTGCCGCATCCGAATCTAATGAAGGTAGGCAAGGGTAGGAGGAAGAAGAAGTGACTCAAGGGGGACATGGACGCTATGAGAGGGTATGGCGAAGACATGTACGGAGGGGGAGACTTCAACGAGACCCATGGCAGGAATCTTTGCTTTGTTTGCAAAGAACCTGGTCACAAGGCTAGCAGGCATAGAAGGCAAGGGCAGCAGGTGCATATAGCATATATTTTATTATATTAATGTTAATTGTTTGCTATGCTATTTAAAACTACTATGTTAGTACATTGAAACTTTAGAGCTATGTTTATTATGATATATGTTTATTCTATAATTTTGCATAATAGTTTATTCCTTTTACATTTACTTTGTTTTTATGCACTAATGTTCCATCAAATTATAGTACTCTTAATGTTTGTTCTAACATATATATTTGAAATTTGAACCAAGATAGGGGATCATCATCCGCAGTACCCTATTCTTGAGGTGCACTACGATAAGGACCACCGAGCCAAGCGCTTGTCGGAGCTTCAGGAGGACTTGGTACCTCTTAGACTACGCACGCACCAGCCGCACCGCTGGGACGAGCGATAC